AGCAGAAGCAGCGCATGCGCAATGCTAATAACAGCAGCTCCAACGGAAGTAAAATGGAGAAAAAACGAGTCTATAGTTAAGTTTTCTTGTGAATTGTATTTGTACACCACACACCTTAATATTATACTACTCAGAATATTGACCGAATGTATTCTGACCTTGTTTTCTGTTGCCCAGATACTGTACAAATCAATTATAGTTCAAGAAGTATACACGTAAAAATTTCACGTTTTCATTTATAACATTAATGTTCAACAACACTTGATGATCTGACGTGCAGAGTACATTTCGTATGTTGTAGGTCATTTCATAGTAAAATTATCCCGGGAAAATGGAGTTTTCGTTGCCTTCAGCAATCTGTTTCAGTAACGAAAAACCTTCTAAAGATGTATATAACTTCAACTCAGTATAACACTAACTGTCATTGTATATTTCACTATCTAAGGATCTCTTATCTGGACTGTACTTACAAAGGAAAAACAACAACAGTATTTTCAAGTTACAACTGACATCTTTCTCAGAAGTTATGACATGAGTGAGTTCATTCCCAGAGGTTAAGTACAGTTGACTTCTTTCTCAGAAGTTATGACATGATTGAGTTCATTCCCAGAGGTTAAGTACAGTTGACTTCTTTCTCAGAAGTTATGATATGATTGAGTTCATTCCCAGAGGTTAAGTACAGTTGACTTCTTTCTCAGAAGTGATGATATGATTGAGTTCATCCTCAGAGGCAGAGGCGTCGGAACCAGGAGTGCTAAGAGTATTGTACTAACCCCCACTTTTACATATTTGACTCGCATAGCAACTGTAACTTACATTATTACACAAAAAAGTACCCGTCCCCAGTGACGGGAAGAGTTTAAGGACTTTTAAATAGTTAATTGTATTGCACCCTTGATTTCACTCAGAGCCAAAAGCTCTCAGCTACTTATACCACCTACTGCGAAACGTAATTGTTGAATATGTCAGTCATGCTAAGAGTTACTCAACAATAACATACGGTAAATCTACATTTTTATTCTTTACGTAACGCCACATTTTGAAATATGAATGATAGTGTGATTAATTACTGACAGTTTAGTGTAGAATATCCTGCTTGCGAAATAAAATTTGACAATAACATTATTCATGCCTGTTTTCCTATAATTTCGAAGGTGAAGGTTGAGCTTTGCCTGCGTGTACAGCTTTTCAAACGGGAGACAGACAGATACCACGGTTCGCAATATATATATATACGATATTAATTTTCTGGGGGGCAAGTCCCCAAACCCTCCTAGATTGAGTTACCTTTGGCAGAACGGGAGCTATTTTTACTTTCAATCTCTCATTGTAAAATCTGCATGTCTAGACAAGCACCCTACTTTGCAACTCCTTCCTGCACCACTGCTCAGAGGTTAAGTACGGTTGACTTCTTTCTCAGAAGTCATGATATGAATGAATTTATTGTCAGAGGTTAAATAAGTACAGTTGTCTTCTTTCTCAGAAGTCATGAAAAGATTAAGTTATTTCTCAGAGGTCAAGAAATGATTGACTTCTGAAGTTCAGATACCATGTCTACTGTAATCCGCCAACAATTAATAATTACTCGTTTGAAAGATATGAACCTCTGACACAGGACAGTCAATTGTTGCTTACTACTTAATTGTTAAATACAGAGTATATAAAAATATTTATTGGTAAACGTAAATAACTGATATTGGTGTTTTTAGTTCAATCGTGCATTTGTAAGAAAAATATGTTTAGTTTATAATATCTAATATTCTCATGTCTTCTACTGCGCGAGTATTGTTGGTTGTTTGATAAAGAAATAAATACAAAACAGAAAATTATTTTTCGCACGTGCAATGTTGATTATTAAAAATATTTCCCGAATTCTATACCAGACTTCCCTTTGTTAGCTATTACGTAACTCTTACGTATAAGTTCCAACAAACTAATAGTCGCTATTGCCAGTGTCACGTGAACCTCTCGACCCACCGACCCTCTTTCACGTGACCTCAAGCATATATTACATTTCTCAATACGGCTTGGCTAAGGCCTTAATTGTACGCGTTAACAGCCCTTTATTAAAGGGAAGTGCTATAGAACTATTAACAAAATGCACAAGGTTTGAAAAAATATTACGTCTTTTAAATATTAATTTAGAATCAAATTAGTATAATATTTTCCAAAGTAAATGTATGTATATATGCTTTTATAACATACATTTAATATTTTCAAAACTTTGAATTTCTTATGAAGAAAATTCATCATAGTATTAACGATCTATGATGAATTATCTGGTTGTGTGAAACATCTGTGAACTTGTGAAGTCGCAAATGTTACAAATAAGTACTTCAATTCATCATAGTATTAACGATCTATGATGAATTGTCTAATTGTGTGAAAATCTGTGAACTTGTGAAGTCGCAAATGTTACAAATAAGTACTTCAATTCATCATAGTATTAACGTTCTATGATGAATTGTCTAATTGTGTGAAAATCTGTGAACTTGTGAAGTCGCAAATGTTACAAATAAGTACTTCAATTTACTTAAATATCGTACAATTTCAATGTCTACTGTACATCTGATGAAACATCACATATTTCTACCTCATCAGCATAGAATTAGATAAAAAATTTCTTAAAAACTTCAACATAACTATTGACAACTTTCCTCAAATGCTACAGGTGTTCTCTCATCTTAGTACATTGTCTATTAAGTTAATTTTCGTTATACTTCATATCATACCTGTCTTGGGTAATTACAATATCGAGAGAAAAATAATCAAAGTTTTCAATTGCAAGCAATGAAATTAAATTAGCATTTTCTTAAATTACCCATCACTTAAACTTGCAAAAAAATTGGAAATCGACTTACGTTTCATTCGATCCGAGTCATGATAAAGTAATTGTTGCTCATTCTTAGTCCAGTCACCAGCCTGGTGGGCCACGAGCACCAGGTTGTCGGGGGCTTCCATGTGCCCTTACGTCCCCTTGAGTGTTACTCCTTTACCACAAAAAATAACCATGGAATATTAGGAGGACACGCATAAGTCGTATTACTTACTAGATGTTAAATGAAGTACCACTCCTTACATTTGAAATCAAATGTGGAAAGTGACTTCAATCACCAGATTTAAATCACTTTTAAACGTTTTTGTTGTTGTTGTTGTTGTTTTTCTTTCACTGATAATATACAAAACAAGTTGTGCCACTAACCTCAACCTGCTACCCCACCCCCTAGATGAACGTCTGCTTTGGCTTCACCGAAACTTTATTGATCCTACTCAAAACATCGCCATGCTGTATTGGCTGGCGTTCTCAGGCAAACAACTACTCAAAGCAAAATACTGCGGAATAAGTCCTGACGTAAATACCTCCAGGACAACATAAAACAATGACTTAATATTGAATTCAGCACATTATATTACTTCCAAAATTGTATTACACCGTCCTTAGCTTTCGGAATATGCAAATTAATGTTCGAAAGATCCCTAAACACAATATTTCGGTAATTTTCGATATTTCACCAAAGATTGAACGTTGCCCATGCTTTAGAAATGTTATCGCTCTGGAAAGTCTGTAGAGAACCACTGTTGTTTTGTATATTCTGAAGTTACAAGAAATATCTTGACAGGAAAGACAACAACTCTTACCAGGATAATCTTCGCATTGGTTCTTTTCCCATGTAGTAAATATCCGAAGAATTCAACGCACAAAGCTGCGATGCAAAATTATATAAACACGAAAGTTGGCTTTCCCGTACAGCTCAAACGCCCTCAACCTCAGCTGATCACAGCTGACGTTACCATAGAGTATCTTGCCGCCATGGAACTATAAACATGGCGTTTGCGCTCAGCTGGCAGTCTGGTGCACACATGCAACGAGAAGCGCGTGACGAGGTTAAATATCACTTCGTAAAAATGATACCGTACTATTTAAAACTCACAATTAGAACAATATCGCAATCACGCTGTAACTGCAAGTCACTTATTAACTTGAGAGAACAATAAAAATCACGAAAATGATCAGAAACCTTACTCTATCTACAGCACAAGTACCACCTCAAAAGCCCATCGAAGTAGAATTACTTCTCTGATTCAAACATGGGGGGCGGAGCTTAGCGGCCGTGCTTCGTTGCAGCTTAGGCTCTCGCAGTAACGCGTCTGCTTATTGGCCTTCTGTACTGCTTGCGACAGGTCAAAGGTAGCCGACAAATTTGCCGACAAAGTGTGCGTCGCTAGAGGGCGCAATAGGAAAATGTGTTCAATGAAACTCGAGAGGGGCATACATAAAATTGCTGATTGGAAATCATTCCACCTGAATCTATGTGCTTACATATATATAGGAGAGAATTGGGGTAGAATAAGCAGACTACAAAACTACCGAAACGGTTGCTTACTGTGAATTATAACGGTGCTTTGTGGATCGCGATTACAAACAACTATTATGGTAGCTTAAAACTGGATTACACGAATGCTAAATGGCTCTAGAGATCAAGTAAGTCTGAATTTTACACATACTTTGTTGTATTTTTACTTGCTATTCTTATTCTGTAAAACGTTGACCAGTGCAGGATCGTGTAATATTATAATCACTACTACCTCCTACCCGCCCCCCCCCACCCCCAAAAAAAATAGAAGAAATATGAGTCTTAATATTTCCAAAATCGTTTTTTCAAAGCTACAAATGTCATCACACTATCACGTAAAAATTAATTTCTTATTCGCAAAAGTTCCTGGACGTCTATACTTGCATGCACGGATGGTAATGGTAATTACAATGACACGTGTAGTCATGAAGGATACGAGGAGTTTGGATATTAGTTATTACGACCAAAAACACCAAGGATAGACCATTCTTTCAATGTGTTACACACGATTTGCTATTATTGTTCTTGATTTACCTTTCAAAAATCCTGACAAACAACTCGATAAATGTATATCTCATATGTATATTAATTGAAATCTTCCTTTAACTGTTAGCAGATAAAATAAAACTTTAGTAGGCAAACCAAAGACTTTGCGATGCATAAGGAACTGTTTTAAGGATTTTTCTTTTACGATATTATTTTAGCGTTGCACGGAATCGCGTGAGCTGTCTTAAGCATGTGTCACTTTATATAACCGCAGACATGTTTTTGTTATTATAAACTTGATTTACCGGTTATGTTAACATTTTCTTTTTATATAACTAACTGTATGGCCAGAAAGGAAGTACAATAAGTGTAGGCTGTGTCTGCCATTCTGCAAGTTAACAGTTTTAAAACATAATTTGCCCGGATCTGACGCAAAAACAAAATGGAAACTATTGATGGGTGTAAAAAATTACAAAAAATCTAATGGAGTAATAAACTTACTTGAAATAAAATAAATTTAAAACTAAATAGAAATGGAAACAGTTCAGTTACAATAATTAACTAGATATATATATATAATACATTTGTATAACGTATTTGCGGAAGTATAGTTTGTAAAATGTGAATATAAAATGAATCTTTAATGATCTTGATGTTGTA